TGGAGTAATTGAAGACAGTTAAAAGATTTCTGTCATAGGTGCCTGAGAAAATAATGCTAATATACACTAAAATAATGAGAATAATGAATAGTTTGGGGGTGGAGGTGGAGAATACAGCAAAGAGAATCCATTTTGAACTTACCAAACTTGAGTTTTTGAGGACAATCATGGTGGAATATTTAGTACACAATAAAAATTCTCAAGCTAGGGCCACCTGGGTGGCTCAGTGGGTTAAGCATCTGACTCTTGGGTCCAGCTCAGGTCATGATCTCCTGGTGGTGAGATCCAACACTATGTTGGGCTCAGTGCTCAGTGGGGAGTCTGCTTCAGATTCTCTCCCCTGTCCCCATCCCTGCTCCCCTGTGTGCAAAATAAATAAATAAATAATAAAATCTTAAGAAAAAAAATTTTAGGGGCGCCTGGGTGGCTCAGTTGGTTGAGTGTCTGCCTTCAGCTCAGGTCATGATCCCAGGGTTCTGGGATTGAGCCCCATATCGGGCTCTCTGCTGAGTGGGGAGCCTGCTTCTCCCTTGCCCTCTGCTTTCTCTCTCTGTCAAATAAATATATAAAATCTTAGAAAAAAGAAAGAATTTATCAGTCTGTACTTCAGAAAATTATCAGGCTCCTCAAATTATAGATTTGATAGTCATCTATATACAGGTGCAGTTAAGACTATGGGGGTAAAAGAGATTATCAAACAGAACATAATAACAAAAAGAGTAAATATTCTTTAAGAGGTAAGTGGAGGAAAGAACAAGAATAAATACAAGAAAAGATTACAGGGAAATCAAGAGCAGTAACTTTGGTAGCTAAAGGAGAAAAACATCAAGAAAAGAGAAATAGCAATGTAAAATGCTGTATACAATTTTATATATGTGATTATTGTAAAAAACCTTGAATTTGTGATTAATCTGTAATGGTTTTTCTTTGAGAAAGCAATTCTATTAAATTAGTAAATATTTAAGTCAAATTGCAAAGAAAATAAAAATAGAGGGAAGCAGGAAAAATTAGTACCTACCTCTTTTCCTCTAAGTTTTGGGGGTAAATGAAAGTAAAACAGATGTCTTTAAGAACATACAGAGTTGGGGCTCCTGGGTGGCTCAGTGGGTTAAAGCCTTTGCCTTCAGCTCAGGTCGTGGTCCCAGGATCCTGGGATCGAGCCCCACATCGGGCTCTCTGCTCAAGCGGGGAGCCTGCTTCCCCCTTTCTCTCTGCCTGCCTCTCCGCCTACTTGTGATCTTTATCTGTCAAATAAATAAATAAAATCTTTAAAAAAAAAAAAAGAACATACAGAGTTAAAAGATGAAATATATCTTTAATGGGGAAAATGTAAGCAATTTTATAGGCATTGGAGAAATAGGGAGAAGAAGCAGAGGGCAGAAATGAAGGAATAATAATGGGACAGAAGATAGAATCAAAAGCACCAGTCAGGTATTAATGTTGGGCAAAAGAACTCTTTAATAAAGAAACAGACAATTTCAATGTGAGGCTAAAGAAAGAGGAATTGAAAATTATGTAGGATGACCTTGGTCATCTTCATAAATTCATTAGGCAAGATTTTCTGTGGAGAATAAGAATTTGAAAGAATTTGAAATATAAATAAGACTGAAGAAGCACAAAAAATAAAGAAATTGGTGTTGTTAGAGATGGTAAAGAGGTCAGCTAGAAAGGAACAAAGAGATTTATAGTAGCTTTGAGGTCACTTTGAGGTCACCTAATTAGACAGTGAAATTATTTTCTAAAGGAATACAGCCTGTACTTCTGACTTTGTAACATTTTTAGGCTTAGATTAGGCTTAGATTTCTCATTACAAAGTTTTGATTTGTTAGGCATTGTGGAAAGGAGAAAAAAAGATTTGAATCTGAGCTAAAAGAAGTTTCAGAGAATTTAAGTAATGATAAAAATAAGTAGATTATGAGTTTATAAAACCAATGTGAAAATGTTTCCATTTCAAAAAAAAAGAAATGTATATCTATGTATATCCAGATAGATAGATAGATAGATAGGTATAGATATTATATATCTTGGTGGATATCTGTATATAAACCCTTGAATGAAGACATAAGGGTCAAAACTATCACATCATTGGGATCAGAGATGAATTGATAGAGAAAAGATTGAGAAGAATAATCATTAGTATTAAATACTGAAACTTTTCTGAACCTGAGAATTTTTAATATACACTGAAAATCAGGGAGAAAGTGAAGAACTTCCTTCAACTAAGGCCAATGGGATACCATGTCTAATAATATTAGTCAAAATCTTATTGTGAAAACCATCAAAGACATTCTATTTTTTTCTCATATTTGGCAGGATTCATTCTAGCAATGTTTTTGTGATAGAAATGTCAATGACTTGGATTCAGAATAAAAAAGGATTTGACTTCACCTAGTTAATAAAAATTGCCATCTCTCTGTGTGATATAACTCAGTGTATGAGATTGCTTTTTGAAAGAATGCTTTTGATGGGACATTACCCAAACTCTTCAGAAGTGCAATACCTGTTCTTGTTATACTATGTAATACTGAGCATATTGTGCAGGAATTGTAAATATGCCTTAACAGAGGAAGTTCTTATAGAATTTTTTTAAGTTGTGGCTGTTAATAGGATTGTGGTTTTTACTTCTTCTTTGTCATTCACTCCAAAGTGTCACTAGAATACAGCTCAATTCAAGGAAAAAGGGAATTGAGGTAGCTTTGAGTTCTAGAACTTTGTTCTAGTCTCCACACTTAGTGTGAAGCCCTCTGATCTGTGAGATTAAGGGGTTGTTTTTTGGAAACAAGTTATTAGATTCTTAAGCCTGAATTACATAAACAAGAAATTATAACAGGAAAAGGAAAGAGAAAAAGATGTATAGTACTTAGCCTGGAAATAGAGGAGCTGATATTTCTAGATCATTTTAGGAATCAAAAATTTGCTTAGGTAGGTGTGCCAGGGTGGCTCAGTGGGTTGGACCTCTGCCTTTGGCTCAGGTCATGATCTCAGGGTCCTGGGATTGAGCCCCAAACCGGGCTCTCTGCTCGGCGGGGAGCCTGCTCCCCCCTTTCTCTCTGCCTGCCTCTCTGCCTACTTGAGATCTCTCTCTGTCTGTCAAATAAATAAAATCTTTTTTAAAAATTTGCTTAGTTAAAAAAAATTTTTTTTGCTTAGTTAAATTCTTTACCAAAGAGTTTTCTTCTAAAATCTATAGTGTTGATCAGACAGTTTCCTACTACTATGAATACAACTATTTTCAAAATTTTGTCCCCGGACTCCTGCAGGTCACCCAAACCCTCTCAGTCAGTTCTCTGAGATACTCTCATTGGATTCACAAATTCAAAATAATTTTCATAATAATACTGATGATATTTGCCTTTTTACTTGGTTGGCACTGCATGAATGGTGCAGAAGCATGGTGGGAAAAACTGCTGGCACCTCAGCACTAATCAAGTCAGCAACACAAAACTCTACTGTAACCCTGGTATTTTTCACCATCACACACTCACAGTTAATATTTTTAAAATGCTAGATTTACCTACAGATATACTTGATGAAGCAGTAAAAAATGTTATGTCAAGTCTTGTCCCCTCAGTACACATCTGTTTAACATCTTTGTGATGAACTGGGAAGTCACAAGAAGCATCTCTGCCAGGTACCAAAGTGGATGGTTGTCTCAAGTAAAGTACTTCGGTGACTACTGGGGTTGAGAGCTGAACTAGCCACTTTTTCTTAAGTCACCATTTTTACTTGAAAGAATAACTGACAGGCAAACTGTAGTTTTTCAAACTTGGGTATTTGGCAGAGATTTTCATTGAAAATGAACAAAATGAGCTTGTCAGTTCAAGGGAAGAAAAATCCAACTGTATCTGTTGGCAATGATGAAATCTGAGCTTTCAAACAAAAATTACAATTTTGGAAAACTTACTATCTGCCCCTGTGAACTTGTCAGTTTCCCAATCCTTAAAGACTTTCCTGCTGAGATAGGTGGTGTTACTAACAAATGTGATATTGTATAATACAGTGCCATTTGGAATTTTTGCATAACCCAGCGACCCAGTGTCTTCCAAATGACCAATGCTTGATATTAAAAGTATAGATTATATGTATGTATATATATACATATATACATATATATATATGCATAAGATCCATTTAAAGTGCAAGGTAGACAACAGATTTTAATGAAACAGTATGGAAAGCATATTGATATGGTTGTATGATTCCACATTGTAAAAAAAAAAAAAAAATCCACAATCATCTGAAAAGGCTATTAAAACTCCTCACATTTCCAACTAAAAAAAAAAAAAACTGTGTAAGTCCAGATTTTCCTCATATACTTCAACTAAAACAACATATTGAGACAGATTGAATGCAGAAGCAGATACGAGAAACCAGATGTCCTTTATAAAGCCAGACATTTACAAAATTAAGCCAGAGAATTGCAAAATGTAAAACAATGCCATTCTTGTCACTATTTTTTTTTTTTTTTTGCTTTGGAAAACATATTTCATTTCATTAAAAATATATTATTTATGGAAATGTGTAATGGGTTTATTATTTATATTTTAAGCAGATTAATAAATATTTAAAAATTTTTCAGTTTTAATTTCTCATATAAATATTAGCAGCATCTCAAATAAATATTACATAAACAAAAACTCACTAGTGTTTTCAATAATTTTTGAGAATGTAATGGATATTTGAGACCAAAATGCTCCAGAAATATTAATGTAGATCAAGCCCTAAGCACATAGTAAACTACTCAGAAGCTTTTAACACACCTCACATGATCTCATAAAGTAACAATTGAGAAGTTATATAATTGCATTTGTAATATGGGACAGGAAGAATTTTCCTTCTCTTTTAAACTAAAAGAAACCATACCATTCATACTATAGAGAAGACTTCAGTGCCTGCTGATGGCATTCTCTCCATTCTTTCTTCCAAGTCTGTGAGTCTCATTTCATGTGTCCCCATTTACAGGAGTAAAATTAGCATGTTATCTAGTCACCATTTGGCTCATGACTCAATGTCACTATAAAAATCATTTTAGCAGCTTCATAGGCCCAACTTCTTTTAAGATACACATCTATGTGGAATGCTTCAATTTATTTAATATAGGAGACGTAAGTACATACTTTTCCTAGCCTCTTGCAATCTATCTAAATCTGTGAAACCTACATGAGTAAAATCTTTTGGTTTAGTCTTTCATAATTTGTACATATGATATTTTAAAAGGTAAAGAGCGTAAACAAGGGAAAGACCAACATGAATCTCAGTTTAGAAATCCATTATACAAATGAAGAATTTTTAGAATACCAATATACTGTTTCTTTTGTTAAAGAGTGAGAAAGTAAGATTTTTTTTTTAAGAAGGGAGAAAAGAAAGAGCAAGTTTGTTCCTTAATCATGAATTTTGATTGGCTTTTTAGTTATCATTATTTGGAGATTTATGGTTTAAAATTTAGTATAACTTTAAATGGTATAGTACTTAAATAATAAAATGCGTTTCTTTCTCTCTAATCAGACTATGAATATTAGTATAATTTAGTTGTTTTCTATAACTGTATTCCAAAAAAATACCATTTTATCTTGTTGATATCCAGTACTACCATTTTGCTTTATCTACAAAATTCTAATTATAGCAACATAAACAGGAAACTTCAGTGGAGTCTACTTTTGGTAAATTTTGCAGGTTTTATTCTGATTATTTTTATAAGGCCAGAATGCATGCTAATTGCTATTCTATTAAACCTCTACCAGCTGCTTACATTAGATTTTTAACTTTTATCATTTTTTTGTTATCTATTAGACATAATCATTTAGCAATAGCATCCCCAGAATAGCTAAGCAAAATTACAAAGCCATTATACAGTGGTGTATTTGGTGTAAAAGATATTTCCGGTCTCTGGCAGTCATATCACTAAAGACCTGTGTCTAAATGTTTAGCTGAAAGAAAAAATAACATAGCTGCCATACATGTAAAAATAACTGTTTTTCAGTACCTAATGAGAATTCGCTAAAAGCACTATAATCATGGAAAGAAAGGGGAAAAAAGAGAGTTCAAAGCATCTATACATTTTGTTTAAAAATGTAACTGTATTCTTCCTCATTCATGTATTTACATGTGTGCTATTTGTCAGGTATTTTTTTAAGTCTATTGTCCAGAGGAAAAAATGTAATAAAAATGAAATACTACTTTTATGATTATTATTATAATAATTATAATGGACCATAATTGAATGCTCCAAACTCAGCACATCAATCTAGTAACTGTGTTTTATAAGTACTTAAAGAAAGAAGTTTATAGGGATAAGCTCTTTTCACAAATGCCATTAGTGTCTTTCAAGCCAATTGAAAGCCATATATATACATTTTAAAGGTGAACACAATATACGTTTACATCTGTCAAGACCTTGTTTCTTATTCCGTGTACTTGTTACTTAAGAGAACACTAAGTGAAAATTCAAATTAAGTTGTTGGCTCCCCTGTTTAAAAGTAGAATTACTGCCAGGATCTTTTAACATTCCCAGAGACACAAATCATAACACAGCACACATTCTTTTAATTCACATCTTCTCATGGGAAATGTCACCACTTTTATCTCTCATTCTTGATATTTCAAATCTCCTTAAAACTATTAAAAGCACAGTGAATTAGATATTAAACCCCCATAGTCACATGTATTATTATGACAGTCTATGTAGAAAAATGATAATGGCAAAAAAAAAGAAGAACTTCTATTGCAAAATACAATGTTTTCTGTGCAAAACCTATAGAACCTGGGTTAAGTCATAGTTCTGTGTACTATTTAGCAGTCACTTAGTATCTCTGAGACTTATTTTCTTCATCTGAAAATAAGGATATTTTTGCCTACTCCATAGCATTGCTATCAGATGAGAAATGATAGCAGTTGTGCTTTAAAAAAAAAAAAAAAAAAAAGCCTGTGATTTAAAAAGCCATAAAGGGACTGAGAGTGAGAAACAGTAAGAGTGATTATAAGACAAACTTACTCCTGTAACTCCACCTTTCCTTAAACTTTTATGAGATAATATTAGGTTGATATGCATGTCTAATTCTAAATCGCCAAAATAGCATAGAAATTAGATACTGTATTGGTTAATGGTGGTAGAATAGATAATGAAAAACACTAAATTACTCCAAGGTCAAAACCCTTATTCAGACTTGTAACTCACTCGCAGACAGGCAACCTGGTAAAGTAGAAAAATGAAGTGAGACTTTGTAGACCTTCATGCCAGACAATTAACTGTGTTAAGATGGGCAAATCATAGAACTGTCTAGTCCTCAGCTTCTTCACCAACTTTCTGGATTTTTAGGATTTGGTAATTGAGTATAATCAGGGAAGAGGGAACTTCTCTGTGGCTACTGATGAAGGACGTCGTCTATTTTTTCTTCATTGTTTAGTTTTATTCAACATACTTTTATTTTGCACTGACTGTATGCAAAGGACTCTACTAGGAATTGTATGTAACTAAAACATTGAAATGTAGTTCCTGTCTTGTCAGAGCTTATGTTCAGTCTAGAAGGAGAGGTCACTATAATGCTAGTTAGAATTTAAGTGCCCTCTATGACAGGCACAAATCAAGGCCCATATGGGATTGCCAGCTGAAAAGACAGGGAAAAGAAGACAAAGACAAGGTGGCATTTGGCTGAATTCTGAGGGCTAAACCCATTTCAACAAGCAAGTTTGTCAGAGGAAGGCATTCCAGGTAGAATCACAGACTTGAGCAGTAGTGCCGCAGAGCAGCTCTGGAAAAATATTGTACATTATTCTGCAACATACCAAGTATGAGAACTAGTGTTTGAACTTAAAGCAACAAAAGAGGGTTCTTTCCAGATTATGGAAAAACTCAGCAATAATCCTGGGAAGAGCTTTTCTGTGTTTTACAGGCAGTAAATATGAGGGACATCCAATACAAATCAACATACCTGGCAAGTGATTAGACATGGCTATCAAGTGAGAGAAATAGGCAAAAGTATGCTCCAACATAGTGTATTTGTAAGGCCAGTTTATTCAGTGTTCTGTTGTCATCTTACTTTGTTTTATTGAGTTTGAAATGCTTAAGCAAAACCAGGTGAAAATATTTAGCAGGCAGTTGCCCTTGTGTGTGAGGAGCCTGGGGAAACAGTCTAAAGAGAAGATGCATACTTTTGCATTATCCATTGTGAGGAATTAGAAGCCATGGATTAGATAAGTTTTTACGAGTTAGGAAAGAAAGAAAAAGGGTCAAGGACTGATCTTAAATTCCTACAAAATGTCCCCAGGAAGAGAAATCTGTAAAGAACACAAAAGTCAAATAGGATAGAACCAGGATAGTAAAGTGACAGTTGTGGTGTTTTGTTGTTGTTGCTGTTATTGTTGTTGCTGTTTTTTATCAGCACCCATCATATGCTTAACATTTATTAGGCTTTTTGGATACATAATCCAAATGAATTCTCATAGCTACCTTGAGTGCTAAGTATATTTATCACAATTTATAGATGAAACAGTGAGTACAGAAATATTAGATATAGCATAACAACTAAATGGAAAGTCTAAATTCGAATACAGATAGCTATAATAATACCTATAAAACTACCTGTAATATTCTTGCCTCTATAGCTTGCAATATGTGCTAGGAGAGATTTTCAAGGAGAGTGTAACTGTAAATGTCATGTATTATAGAGAGACCAAACCAGGATGGGCACTTACAAGAAATGTAATAATTAAGCAGTCACTTAATGTTAATACAAATCATTTTAGTGATCTCTAAGAAAGTAATCTCCATAAAACATACTACATAAAAACCAATGGAATACAGACTTTTTAAAGAGTTGTTCAAAGAAAGTGAGAAAATAAAAGTAGCTGAACCTTTCTGAGAAATTTAATAAAGGAAAAAGATGGTGCAAAGATGTATGAAAATTGAATAAAGAATATTTGGTTAAATGATTGTTTTTTTGTTGTTGTTTTCTGGTTTTGCTTTTTTAGTAAGAGGACTTGAACACGCTTACAAGCTTACAGGAGAAATGCAGAGGAGAAAGAAGACTCAAATTATTGAGGAAAACAAATAATGGAAGGAGCAAGGTCCTACAGGAGGCAGCAGGAAATAGAATCAATAGCATGCCTTAGAAAGAAAGAAGCTAGTTCGTCTAGGAAAGAAAGAATAGTATTTTACAGAGCAATGTGTTTGAGAGAGGAAGAAATTTAAGAGAATATGCAGCAGATGTCCTATATCTTCTCAGAGAAGGAAGATGTAAAGTCATCTCTTAAGGCAGTGGTATCTGGTTGTGTGGCTTGGAAAGCATTTGGAATTCTTCCCACAGAGAAAAGCGTAAGGAAGAGTCAACCAGAGGTGAAAAAAAGAATTTCTGAACAACTCAGAGTGTATACTAATAATAGAGTCAAAAATTTCTAGTTGAGCCAATTGGCACAATTTTGTGACTTTTTCTGGTAACACTCAGCTACCCAGTTAATGAGATCGGAGTGCATGATGCTGTTTTCCCAAGTGAGGTTTAGGAAGATCAAGGTGACAGTAAGTCAAAGAGACTACTTGATGCCAAAAAAAAGTTACATGAAATTGGTTGGCAATTGATCCAGACTGAACCTGGAGGAAGCTAAAAAAGGGTTAAAAGAACTAAAAATATAACCAGTGCGAAGTACAGAGTCATTAAGAAGAAGAGATAGAAAAAAGAATAGGTGGTTATAGCCACGAAAGGAATCTCCAAATTCAGAATTTAAGAAATGAGATAGTTTTAGAAATGAGATAGTTTTTACATCTTCACTTTAAGTAGCATTACTCATCATGCCTTTCAGCTGTCCCCTTACTTATTAGAAAATGGAAGACTAGGAGGTTCAAGTGATTTTCCAAAAGTCACTCTATGACTAAACCCAGGATCTTCTGAAGAGCATTTTGAAGTTTTAAATAAAATAATAGCCATTACCATATTCCCTTAAAAAATAATGGTAGATATAGTTGAATGAATGAAAACCAATGTTATCTATAATATAGTCACAGTAAGCATATAGTATAGATATATTTTCTATTTCAAAAGTGTATTATGGTGTTACCCCCTCATTCCTGTTTCATCTTCCTCTTTAAGAAGAGAAAATATAAAAGTTTCCTCTAGATTGAATTAATAGCTCCCTCATCAGTATGCATTAGGGGAACTCAGCCTAAAAGAATGTGCTACTGACTGCCATCCTAAATTGCAGTGTAAATCAAGTTATCAAGTTATTTCAGAGTGCAAATATGCATGCCCATGATGATGTATGGGTTCCACCATTTTTGCTTCTCCCATATTTCTTATATTTTGAAAAGATACCTTCTCTTGATTATTGATCTGTTTTTAATCTTAAACTACAATAAAATATGATTGGAATATTTAGAAATAGGAGGAAATTATTTTAAAGTTCTGTTCAAATAAATTAATTCAATAATAAATGTATTTTTTTCTTACCTTGCTATACATCCTTCTTTTGACTTTTAGGTAAGGACATAAATTTAAACATAGAAAAAAACCAAAGATTTGTATTTGGTGGGTTTTTTTTAATACATATATCCTATTTTACCTTGAAAATATTTTTTTGGAAGACTCATTTTCATGGGCTCCTTTTTTGGAGGGGGAGCAAAGAGGGAGGGAGAGAGAAAATCTCGAGCATACTCCATGCCCAGCATGGACCCCAACGCAGGACTTGATCTCACAACCCTGACATCATGATCCGAGCTGAAATCAAGAGTCTGACTTAACCAACTGAGCCACAAAGGTACCCATCATTGAGTCTTTTTTAAACTTGAATATTTTATTTCGAAGATTCAGTCAAGAAAGATTGTTATTCCTCTCAAGCAATCACTTAATAAGGGGACCACAGGGAACCATCCTCCTGGATTGGAAGTAGCTCTTTGGTCACTGACATTGCTTAGAATTGCTGGGGGGTGCTTGGGTGGCTCGGTTGGTTAAGCATCTGCCTTTGGCTCAGGTTATAATCTCAGGGTCCTGGGATCGGCCCCTCTGTCAGGGTCCAGGCTCAGCGGGGTTGTGCTTCTCCCTCTCCCTCGGCCCCCAACACCTGCTTGCACACACTCTCTCTCAAATAAATAAATTAAATTAAATAAGAATTGCTGGTATATGGTGATCTAAAAAGCAAACTAAATTTTGGTAAACTTCATTATTGTTCTTAGACTCTGCAGACAAAGTACTTGCATTCAGACAAAGTACTCTAGGATGGACCACTCTATTCCACCCCCAACCCTGGTATGCTACCAATCTCAAGTTCTTCTCTCTGCAGTTGAAGACTGACTAAATGGTATTAGAGAAGGAGAATTTTATGATCTAAACTAGGTGCCCACAAGTTACAGTATTCAGGCCAAATCTGGTCCCATTACTATTTTTCCAAACACAGTTTATTACATTTATTTAACATATTTTACTTGGACTATTTTTGCACTACAACCACAAAATTGAGTAGTTGGATTAGAGACCATATACCCCTCAAAGCCTAATTTATTTACTATCAGGCCTTTACAGAAAAAATTCACTGACCTTGGATCAAGGATTAAAGCATTACTTGCTTTGTAGACATGTAAGCAAGACAATCATTTCACATTCATATTGTAGGCCAGTAATTTAACAAGTGTCTTTGTGAAATGTTATCATTGACCAACATTATATTTACCTATTAGTTTTTCTTTGTTTTGTAGTCCCTGCTATGTGGATATTTGTTAGCAATGACTGATGTGGAAACTACATATGCAGATTTCATTGCTTCAGGAAGAACAGGTAGAAGAAATGCAATACATGATATCCTGGTTTCCTCTGCAAGTGGCAACAGCAATGAATTAGCCTTGAAATTAGCAGGTCTTGATATCAACAAGACAGGTGAGTTGTTTGACACACATCTTTCTTCCAAGGTGGGATTATTTGTAGCATTTCACTGAAGAGGATTAAAACGTGAAAAGCCACCTTTGAAAGTAATCTAATAGCGTTACAAACAGTCTAAGGCAAGAAAAAAGTCAGTGACTAATCTCTTCATCACTCCTACTCCATTTTCAGTGACTTTTCTGTATAGGGTTTCCCACTCAAATGCAGAATTCTTAATCTTCTATTACTAATGCAATCAATAAAGCACATGGGTTTTAAAAAAATTCTAATCTATAAAAGCTCTGAAATTTCTACATAGAATATTTAACAATGTTGGAACTCCTACCTTCAGTAACATTGGCCATTTCAAAGGAAAGGGTCTCTGGGACCAATTTTATTGAAAACGGAAGTAAAATTGTTTGTTACATCAATGTCTTCAGTAAAAAGGTCTCTCAGTTTTCTTTTCATGATAGAATGGGTTTGTGGAAAATTTGTCTTATTACTGGGCTTTGCAGTCTTCTTACCCAAGTACCAATGAAAAAGTAAAACAAGATTGTAATATCAAAGTACTTTTGAGTATTTAAAAGAATGCCATGGGGGCGCTGCCCGGCCCCCTCCCCGCAACACCTCAAATAAACAGACGCTGCCGCTGCCAAAAAATTAAAAAAAAAATAAAATAAAAGAATGCCAGTAGTTCTTTCATTCATTGCTTTTGCAGGATTTAAAAGTGAATGTATTTCCCTAACAAATCTTGTAAAAGAAATAACCTTTAAAAGTAAAAAAAGGAGTTCACGATCAAGGAACCACAGTGTTGTATATATGAAAAGCACTTACCAGTTTCTGGCTCATGGTAACCACTCAGTACTAATTTGCTATTAGAATTTTTATGGCAGAGCTTTCCAGTTACTGGAAAACTGAGTCAGAGTATATGTTAATGAAACAGTTTAACAATGTTACCCTAACATACCTAGGGACAGTACTTTATTCAATGGCTAAAGGTCAGCAGGTCACATATTGGTCTTTTCAAATTCAAACTGAAAATAAAACTTTAACATTGCCACCTTGGAATATATAGACTTATGTATATTTTAGATTTTGTTGTTTCCCTACTGTTTATTACCAGAAGTTACTTATCAAAGCAGCTCTCAGAAGGGGTTAAGGAAATTATTGCAATTTGGTGGCATGAGGCAAGTAAAATTTTTTCTGTGGTCTTTGAGAATTTGCTAATTTTCTTTTATAAGATTTATATATATATATATATTTAAAGATTTTATTTATTTATTTGACAGACAGAGATCACAAGTAGGCAGAGAGTCTGGCAGAGAGAGAGGAGGAAGCAGGCTCCCTGCTGAGGAGAGAGCCCGATGCGGGGCTCGATCCCAGGACCCTGGGATCATGACCCGCACCGAAGGCAGAGGCTTTAACCCACTGAGCCACCCAGGCACCCCAAGATTTATATTTTTCTTTATATATTAATATTCTATTTAAAATAATCTGCATTAATTTTAGACACCCCTAATATTATTGACAGAGCAGTTCCATTTCTTCTTTTTTTGTCTTCCCTGAAATTGAGACTCATCAGCATCAAGACCTGTCTTATACAAGAGAATATATTAAATTATTATATAACAATGGAAGACATTGATTTTTATTAATAAATATAATAAAATTATTTTATATTTTATATTAATGGTATTATTAAACAATTTAGAATAATTAAAATATCTTTATGCTACCAAATGTCTTTTTTTCTAAACATTTGTAGATTTTAATTGCTATTCTCCAGGCTCCTAGAAATTTTTGTTTGTCTTCTAATCCTAAAGTCCAGAGCCAGGCAAAATATAAGCAGTAGTAACTTTTTTATTATTCTAAGTACAAAGAACTAAAAATAGTAACTGCAATACTGACAAATATATAAATGACAAATGAAATATCAATAGCTGAGTTGTGGGAGAGACTTCCTCTGTAACTCATGAATGTTTCAACTTCTTTTTAGTTTATACTCCACAATATTGCTGTCCCATGTTTACCTTGATTTGTTAACAAGCATGTATTTAGCAATGGCTTTGCAATTGCAGCATTATGCTAAGGGCTGAGAAGTGTTCCGAGACACCTAGAAAGTCCTCATCTTGTATTTATGCAGTCAGTTTCATCCTTAAATATTCTACTGTCTTGTACCTGCCCTAATTTGACTTCATTCTTGTTCCTGTTGATCAAGTTTTTGTTGCATGCGAATCTACACATCTCAGATTCAGGCCATCTACACATCTACACATCTTGGGAGGCTGTTTATTGCTGTAATAACGAAAGTAGTTTATGAACTATATATATATATGTGTGTGTGTGTGTGTGTGTGTACATGTGTATAATATATATATATATGTACACACACACACATATATATACATATATACATGCCTGGTCATACCCAGAGAACTCCTTTAGAAACGGAAAATATATGTATTGGGGTGCTTGGGTTGCTCAGTGGGTTAAGCCTCTGCCTTCAACTCAGGTCATGATCTCAGGGCCGGCTCTCTGCTCGGCAGGGAGCCTGCTTCCCTCTCTCTCTGCCTGCTTCTCTGCCTACTTGTGATCTCTCTCTGTCAAATAAGTAAATAAAATCTTAAAAAAAAATATATATGTATTTATGTAGAACTGCTTTTAATTTCCCTAATGTATGGTGTCTGGTGAAATGTTTTGTGTATACTTGTTAAGAGCAAAGGAGAAATTGCCTTTCAACATTTCCATTCAAAGAATGGAACAACCCACTCACCTCTGTTCATTTGAATTATGGTAACAAACACTCAACAAACTTTGATATAGTTATATATTGAACACCCAAAAATATTTTGCTAAAACTCTAAAAAAATCAGATGGGTTATCAACAAGTACTATAAATAATGTAAAATGCAATTTTTAAATATTTCTTAAAATAAGAAAGGAGTGAAAAGGTAAACTTGCTTCCCACTTTTGATTTCTGTCTAAAATGAATTCTGATTTCTGCAACCCGTAAAACTAGAAGTGCCATGATCTGGCTTTGAGATTTCCTAGCATAAATCATCACTGACCATTGTAAAAATTGTTATTCTTTTGTTTTATGCCATGCTGTCCCAAGTTCATAGAACCAGAATTAGCCAACCTTAAAAAACACTAATTGAGGAACTGATTACCAATAAAATATACTTGTCTCTATGAGAATTTCAGACGTTTTCAGTATTTCTGAAATTTCCAATATGATATATTAAGAGTCAGTAAATATAGGCAATAGTTTTTCTTTTGCCTTTATCCTTTTTTTATTATCTCTTACAGAAGGTGAAGAAGATGCACAACGAAATTCCACAGAACAAAGTGGGGAAGCCCAGGGGGAAGCAGCAAAATCTGAAAGCTAACATCCCACTTTGATAACTTCAGCAACACCTGACAATGTCTCAAATCTCCAGGCCTGGCTGGAATGCATTTGTTTCCAAGAGTGAAAGAGGGGGGAAAAAAGTAGCTGTGCTGCATTATAGGAATCTGCTCATTATCATGTCAAAAATGGGGGCAGAGGCTGTGGCTGCAGACAGACTTTTCTCTACCTCTGTCATTAGCAATGGTTGAAATCATGTGGCTTGTGTTTGGATGTCATTTTTGTATGGATCCTTTCACTTGACCATATGATAAAATGCTTGTAGAGAGTAGCACTGACCTAGATGATGATTCTTCCTGCAGCATCTGGCCCCTCAAAATGTCAGAGGATTTAATTGTGTCTAATTGCAAAGGGTTGGTTGAACCCCAGAGTTTAAATATCTCTGGTCTAAGTATTCACCCAGTAAAAGAACCATCCAGAAAGCACTGTTTTTAGCATTATGTATCTGTGTGTTTCTGCTGTGTTATTTACACTGTTTTGTATTGTATAGTATACACGCTCAGCACTGCCCCCTTCTTTGATTGCTCATGAGAAACAAAAATAATGTATGTTACTGTGAATTTTTATACCACTCATTTTTAAAAGGGCTGCCTTTTTCCTTCTCCACAGTGTGGTGGTGTACACAGGATAGATCATACTTTTTTTTAACTTAATCTTTCCCCTTGATCCACTGTTGGTGAATTAAATCTAACCAATTCATCAAGACTTTTTTGCTTTATTACAGAGGCATTTGAAAATATCCACTAATGTGAATTTTACTTGAATTCAGTCTGTTTGATGTCTGTATAGACCAGAATTCAATATGCATATTTTGTTTTATTTTCAATTGGAGAACTTTTCCCAATTAATAAATTTTTTAAATTTTTTAATTATGAGAATTTTAGAGAATCAGGATGGTGGGAAAGATAAGATAATATTAAGAACAGGAAGCTTTTTGTTCTAATGGAATCGAATTACTCAATGCTGTATGCTACTATTTAAATTGAGAGGACAACTTATCAGCATGGAGCTGTAACAGATGGAAAAAATTATCTTGCAATCATGTGGACACCAATCACAAAAGTAAAGCCCTTGCATTGTGTTTTTCATGTCTTTTCAGCCCTATCAGATACAAATGTTATTATGCACTTTTTAATGTTTGTAAACTTTTACTAATAATTAGTGTGAATTGCATTCTGATACAATAATAATCATCATTAGAAGCTAACAAAATCCTCATTAATACTGTTGATAGCCTCTGCTGTGTTTTGACATCATGGTTCTTATATGGAAAGTTTCTGTGAGCTGTGTAATCCCATTGGTCAGTATTATAAAATCATTTATCAGTAGTAATAAATAAGGAACCGATAATATGCCCATGGCTCATGGATTACTGGACAAATAACAGATAACAGGAAGACCCTTTACAATAAAGAGCCCACTTAAATTATCCTCGAGGTCTTAGATACAGTCCCATTTGAGGTCGGTTAAACAACATTTCCACAGATAATCTCCATGTACCAGGAACTCAGCCCTCCTCCATAGCTGCCTATAGGATGAAAGGTCAGTCTGCCCTCATCTCTCCTTACAGTACTTTCCAAATGAGTAGGATAAGGGCATGGGTATCATTTGGTCCTCAATCATGTATTACTAGAAAAAATGTTAATAGGGTGAGTCTCTCAGAAAATAGAAGAGTAAATATTAGAGTACTTCATTCTAACCAGTTGGGGTCCAAAATGCCCAGTTAAAATTCAAATAATTCCACCTATTAATAGACTCACAAGTGGGAAGAAAGGTTCCTGAGACATTTTTAGACAATCTCTGGTAGTTCATTTAAAATATCCAACCCATAAAATCACTTTTTCAGTATCCTCATTTACTATCTTCATAGCTTTCTTGTGAATCTAGGTAAAGTTCTCTCCATCCTTAAAGTTGTAGAATTCCAAATTGATTACATGTGATTTTGTAAAGTTTAGGACTAGTGCTGAGTGTATGTGGAGACTTTATATTCCTATGTGATATACTATTATTAATGCATGTGGTGTCATGCTTGTCTTTGAATATATAATAGTGCTAAGTTGCAAAGTCATATGGAGCTTTTGAATTATTTTGACCTCTTACTGCTACTTTGTCTGCTATATTAAAACCCAGAGAGAGTCCCAAGCTAGAAGATAAAAATCTACTTTCCAAAATATCCATATCCTACAAATGTTGCTCAGCAAAAGTGTCTTCCAAATTGTATTGTAATATCTTACTTGCAAATCAATAATATACATGGAATTTTTTAAGGAGAAAAGGAAAAGGTAGAAAACTAAGGCATTCGGTTTGAGAATATGTATTGAATGCCCTCTAACCAACTAAAATTATGCTAATCACTTTCCAGCACATTTTCTCCAATTTAATTATTTCTCCTCAGAGAATTTAATTAAAGAGGTAGTGTTATCCCATTTCACAGATTAAGAAATTAAGGCTCAATAAGTTATAACTTTTCCAAGTTTAAAAAGCTAATAAGTGATGAAATTAAGATTTGAACCTATCTTTGTCGGTTTCCAAGGAGCTTTCTACTGCACAGGCCATACAATTAAAGCCAATTATAGAGCATCTTTATCTGTAAGGGAACATTTAGAGATGAACTGGTTCATCCTCCATATACTATAGAGGGAAACTGAGTCTCAGAAGGGGGAATTGTCTTTCTCAAGGTTACTTAGATGAGTAAAAACACAGATGTGACCAGATCATAGAAAGTATATTTCCAAAAAAAAAAAAAAAAAAAGAACGAAAGAACTTCAATTAGAGTTTATTTTTTTTGTGTTATACTTCAGAATACTTTTCTGGCATGTAGTCTATAAATTTAGCATGGTTCAGATTTTTTTTTATGTTCCATGCTACTTGTTTTGTTTAATTAACTAGAAATACGAAAATTTCAGTTTTACTCATTTGTAGTAAGTATGAACTTGTCAAACTTACCTTTTATCAATTATAAACATCCTATGCCAACATATTTCATAATTCATAGAAATGTTTTTCCAATATATAACAAGCAGTCTTCAGTTTTTAGGCAACATCCCAAGAACTGCTTACTATAAATGCCCTAAACTTGCAGTTAAAATGTACCATTTAATAAGATGAATGATCTTGCTCTTTCTCTTCAGAGAAGCAATAATGGGTAAACAAATGTCACTGCCAGGTAGCTTATCTTCTGAGTAAAGCTTGTCATAATAGGAAGACAATGTGTAGTTATCAGGTAAAAACAGGAAACCATCTATGATTTATGATGTCTTAATAGGCCCCAAATTGTTCTTTAATCAAAGAGTGGCAGTCTCTGAAGTCATTTGTGAGCTTGTATGACTCTTGTATTTAGTAATGTTGCATGCTCACATAATTGATATTAAAAGTAATACATTTTTTCTGAAATGTGCACAGTCTATTAAGAGTATTTATTGAACATAAACTACGTATTTGGTGCTTGAGAAAGTGCTTCAAGTGAGAAGGAGAAATTAAAGCCTCAGCCATCCTGTGGTGGACATACAGGACATTCTGGCCTCACGTTTTCTGGGCCTTTACTCCAATAATTTTCACCTCCATTCCACTCTGGTAGCCCACTTCCTGGACTTCAGAACATCTACCAGAGTCAAATCTTAAATTGTAAGCACCACTGTCTTCCTGTGGTTCTTACTTGCTCGTCTGCAGGGCATTGATTTTTAATCAGAAGAAAGACCAGTATTTATCAGAATCCCCTGAAAATTTTACAATACTCCTTCCTCCACCCATATACATTCTGTTTCTCTTACACACGCGTACACACACACACACACACACACACACACACACACACACACACACTCTTCCACCTTGAAAACACTCCCTATGTAACTTTGGCATCTTTTTCCTGCCCCACCCTCACCCTCACAACCTGAGAACCACTGATTAAGAAAAAATTCAAAGTTTCCAGATGCACCAGCTCTGTTTATGCCACTAAAAATGTTTAAAATGAGTCAGTAACAAAAATGGAGTGCTCACAGACAACCCTGCTTTTACTCTATTAAGAATAACATCTTGGGGTAGAAAAAGCAGAGAGTTTAACTTCTTTTATTTTGCTGTTGCTCTCTGTTCAATCACATAAAGGGAGGGAAAGACCAAGCAGAATCCAAGGTGGGACCCAGGAGAAAGTAAGCATCAAATAACATCCTGAGTTCAGGCAAGGAATTAAGCAGACAGGGTAAGAGAGGGTGTAGATCTTTAGGTTCCTGTTATTTAGGTCACAAGGATAAAATACTACACAGGGATTTGGCACAAAATGCTAGCCACGCAAAACAAGTTCTTATTGTCTTTGGTGTTTCTTCTCTTTGTATACTTGTTGCCTCTATCTAGGCCAGAATGTGGGGATTTGGGATCCTGGCCATATCTCACTATAAAGTCAAAATTAATAAAATGTTCTGACTATAACTGGTTAACTTTCTAGTTTGTACCACATCTACTTTCTGATTATATCAAGATGAATTTTTCCATAGCAGCTCTCCTCCCACTCTGAAATCCACTGTTAACCTCCTCAGTGCTCCTGATTTTCTTACTTTCTTGTCTTTCTGTCATCTCTGCCCAATCAGAACCATCAAACCATCTGATTTCACTTTACTTGCCTTCAGAATGACTAAAAAGTTTCTAACAATGCTTATTCATTGTTTGTAACTGCATTTTAGACATGAGTGCTATGAAGCTCTTTTTTGGTCCTATTCCTGGGGATAAAGGAAGTTTCCCCACTACTGTCTAAAATGTAGGTTTTCATCTGATCTTTTTTTTTTTTTTTAGATTTTATTTATTTATTTGAGTGAGAGAGAGACAGCACATGAACAGGGAAGAGGGTCAGAGGGAGAGGTAGAAACAGGCGCCCGAAGCAGGGCTCCAACCAGGACCCTGGGATCATGACCTGAACCAAAGGCAGACGCTTAACTAACTGAGCCACCCGGGTCTCCCAAGTCATCTGACATTTTTAAACCATTTTCTTTCAGGAGGTCTTTTAATTACTCATTTTTTCTTCACTGACTTCACCCTTTTCTACAAATGTGCTCAAGTCCTTAGTTCCGTTCTTAACTTCACTACTTGTATTTCTCAGAATAGTAATCTTTGGGGCGCCTGGGTGGCTCAGTGGGTTAAAGCCTCTGCCTTGACTCGGGTCGTGATCCGGGATCCTGGGATCGAGCCCCGCATCGGGCTCTCTGCTCAGCGGGGAGCCTGCTTCCCCCTCTGTCTCTGCCTGCCTCTCTGCCTGCTTGTGATCTCTGTCAAATAAATAAATAAAATCTTTAAAAAAATATTAAAAAAAAAAAGAATAGTAATCTTTGCTCTTGTTTTCATCTTTCTCCTCATTTCTTATCCTTTTGCAATTTGACTTACAATTACATTTTTTAAAAATTTTTATTTATTTACTTGACTGAGATCACAAGTAGGCAGAGAGCAGGCAGAGGCGGGTGGGGGGTGGGGAGGTGAGGCAGGCTCCCTGCTGAGCAGAAAGCCCGATGCAGGGCTTGATCTCAGGACCCTGAGATCATGATCTGAGCTGAAGGCAGAAGCTTAACCCACTGAGCCACCCAGGCGCCCCTACAATTACATTTTATTACCAATAACATCTTAAGTAGTTCCTGGACTTTTAGAATTGTCACAAAAACCCCAGTCAATGTTGAAATTAAAAAATGATGATGTTCCAGAGGACTCAAGCTTCTCCTAAAGTAAAATTTAATGGTTCTATAATTCTAATTGATAGTTTGGCAGGGTTTAGCTGTATCATTAAGGATGGAATCTATGTATCCCAAGAAAAAAGTTCTTCAGGTTCACATCTTCCATCATATATGGTTGTGTCTTTTCTCTTCCACCACATTCTCCCCATAATATTTGCTACATCTCCAGTCCTACAATCCTCATTTCTTCATAGGGGTGGTTGCACATATGTAGGCATTAGCCTTGAGCCTGGACATCCAGAGATGGGCAAGATTAGCTTGTGAAGTTTTAGAGTTCTGCATTCCATTATATTCCAGGATGACTGCCAACAGTATCACTAGTTTCTCTCAAGGCAGCCATGTATAAGCAAAACCACTCAACTTCTTTGTACCCAGTCCCACTCTAGTTCTCTGAATTAGAACTAAGTGAATATATCAATTCCAGTGGTCAAATATAATGGATAGTTTGTGTATGTTTTACAAGCCTATCTTATGGCATTTAATCCTGTTCACCGTGGGATT